GTGCAGTACTGGGTAATAAAACATATACAAGCGTTAGTTGGCGTCCTACACTATCTGCGTAGAGCGTATCGTTTTTTTACGCTCCCAATGAGCGTTGTTGGCTCTCTTGTTCTATTTATACTCTTTGGTGATCTCCATCACGTCGGCCACCATCGACCGTCGGCGGTGTGTGCCAACGGATATTAATTGGCAGTTACACCTTACACCAACAAATATCCAAAAAAAAAAAAAACTTGCATTACAGTAACCTATATGCCACCCGGACTTACGAGCCACCTCGTCCACCACATACCACGATTTAAAAATACCTCCATGGTAGGACTATCCACCTACCACATTTCTACCGCAATGTAATTTCGTAAGTCAAGAAGAAGCCTGAACATTTTTGAAATTATCTGATCACCAAGTTTTAAGGAAAGAGTGCTAGCCAGAGCTAGCCCAGTCACAAACATCAGATTTAATATACATGACTCGTAGTAGAGTCATTTTCATGAGATCCGTGACTAATTTTAGGATACCTTTGTTTCTCGATGGATTTGGCAAGATGGACCAATTTAGATAAAATATAGCTCCTATATACCTCCCAGATATTGGGGGAAAGTCCCGTTTGGGGGCGTTTTTCAAAATGGCCGCCTGTTGATTTGGACGCTTGTATCTCGATAACCACTGGTCAGAGAGACTTGATTTCGGTCTCAAATTGTTCACAATATGCATGTTCCTATTTGTTGTAATACAACTTTTTATCACAAAATGGCGGGAAATGCGGTTTTTGAGAGTTTGACCTTTGACCTTGCAATGTCATATCTCGGTAACTACTGGTCATAGAGACTCACAATTGATTGCAAATTGTTCAGGAGATTCATGTTTATATTCGTCCTAATGAAAAAAATATTCAAATAGTGACCAGAAACGGTAAATTCTGACCTTTGACCTATTGTAGGTTGTCAAATCAACCAGATTAAAAAGAAATTCCTGTATGACTATCTCAGATTTTGATGAAACTTCATAAAAATGATCCACTGTATGAAAAACCAAAAAAAAAAAAAAAAATTAGCCTCATAGGATATGTAGTTTTCGAGATAAAAAAAAAGTTACACTTATAACACGAAAGTTCCATTTAGATGAGTTGATTATTTTTGAAGATATCTGATCTACGACGTTTTGCTTTGAATGTATCTATCGACACCAAAATATAATAACTTCATTTTTAGAACGCTTTGACCTTGTGCAGTAAAAACTGTGAAAGGGCTTACGTGGACTTTAAAAATAAAACTTACTTATTTTATTGTTACTTTTACCAAACAGATAGTCATGATGTTCAGAAATTTGGGGCAAAATGTCATCAAAAAATCACTTCTGATTGGACTAATTATTAGTTTTGGTCTAATTCAGTTTATGTTTATTCCTGATGATGACATAATTAATGTTCTTGTGTG